GTAAAATTCATTCCTCTTTAGGTGATGAGACAATTTTGATGATCGTCACTTACACATATTTCTTTTTTTTTTTTTAATAAGATTATTGCTTCAGCCAATTACATGCTTTCTGAACTTTTTCAATTGGATGAACCTAAAAAGGAAGAAAGTTCAGAATCTCCTTTAAATGAGAATTCTGATGAAAGTTATAGTGAAGAGGAGGAAGAGATGCCAGACAGTGACGAAAACGGATCCTATGGCACCAGCTCTGATCCCTCAGATGATAACAAAGCGGTGGCTATAATTAAGTCTGTTGGAGAATTGTCAGTACCAGAAAAATACAAATCTATTCATCAAATCAGAGTAAGCATGCTACAATTTGCATTAAAGTTTTATCATTGAAAAAGCAAACCATTGTTAATTGAATATAGTTGGCCTTTCACAAGATGGCATTATACCTGAGCTACATCAGGTGGTACTTTTTCTGTGGCTGTGGTCGTGTCTGCCAGTTGGACATGTCTAACAACTTCCCACCCTTTAGGTTTCTGTTGGTGTGGGTTGCATTGACTGTCTCCCATCAGTGTGTCTCCAGACACTATACATTCCAATATGCTGCCTCCCTGTGATTAGGTTCAGGGAAGCCTTAAGAGTTCTGGCTGTTCTCTGAACTGAAATACAGTCATATTTACAGATAATCTTTTAATTTAAGCTCAGAGTTTTAACTTTCAGATGGAAACTTTATATCCAAGTTAAGTTTTTGAGGGGACATCTCTTTGTCACCCTAAAATATTGCCTATCTTTCTGACCTTCACTTTCCCCAATGGTGTACCTTAGCCACACTGGCTTTTTTCTCTCTCTCGGAAGTATCAAGATCATGCTCATCTGAGGGCCTTACATTTGCTGTTGCTTCTGCTTGGAACATACCTTTTTCCAGATCTTGTCATGGCTACCTTTTTTAAGCCTTAAGTCTTGACTGAAATGTTACCTCTTCAAGGAGACCTTCCCTAACCACTTAGGCATGCTCTTTGTGGAGCCTGTCTTATTTTTTTGTGTTTGTCTCTCTTCACTAGAATGTAAGCTCCCAGCTGGTACAAACACTCCTTTTTGTCCCATGTCTAGAACACACAGTGGGTGCTCAGTAAAATATTTGTCTAAATGACTACTGGGAAAAGTCATTAACTGTCCATCTAAATTTAGTTCATGTTGAGCTTGAACCCCAACAATGGAGTAAAAATGTGTTCTGATTATAATTATTGATTGCAAAAGTTACATGTATATGAAACCGCATATACAAGGCCCTGGATTTATGGGGCAATTAGATGATAATTAAAGACATAGTGGGTTAGCATCACTTTTTACAGAGATAGCACTTTTTTTTCAGTATCTGAATGCAGGCTTAACAGTGATATAAACATGTCTTTAGTTAGCTGTGTCTTAGCCATATTCCATGACTTTTTGAAGAATGGGCAGTCAGCATGGGCTCCAGAGTCCCAGCTTCCCATCCACTGCGTCCTCGGACAAAGTACTTAACCGTCTGTGCTTTCTTCTCTTCTGTAAAATGAGAACAGTAATTCTAGCCTCACAGGATTCAGCAAAATGAAATGCTTCACAGAGGCCCTTACACATCACTTAGTAGATGGAGGTTGCTAACTGGTGTTGTGCCTTCATTAAGGAAATAAATTATACAATGAGACTATTGGTAATACCTGTTAACTTATTGCTAAATTGATGATATTATTAACTGTGTGTTACCAAGTAGCAGTGCTAATTAGGAGTTGAGCTGACCTATTTGATTAGGTATACATTTATCTAAAACATTACTACTCTAGTTCTCACTTTTTTGTTATAATTATGTTACACAGAATTTAAACATAGAATTATGTTTAAAATTTTAAGTACTTAAAGCAACATATATGCTGGAAGATGCTTTTTAAGCAAGATTTTTGTTGATACTTACAACAGTTTAATCTGCAACAAAAACAGTATAATAACCCTAATATCAGGCACCTCACTAAGCTGAATGCATAAACACATTTCTAAGTTCTTGGTTTGTAGAGTTTTAGAGTTTCTCACCCTAGGAGATGAGGACCCTGGAATTGGTTGTATTGGCAGCATATTAATGATTTTAAATGTTTATTTCTGAAGCCCAGCTGTGCATTCCCAGTTTGCCACGACACAGAAGAGCGCTGTAGACTTGTGCTTAGCTATGTTCTGGAGGTGAGTTTAAGTTTAGTCTTCACTTTTTCAGTAGCGTTTGTACTTCATAGGCAAATACCGTTTGTTCATTGGTGTCTAAATGTTATTCTGAATGGTGTTCTGCTGTGATTTTTTTTCTTTAAGCACAAAGTGGAAACCAAATCAGTTTTTCCAAATCTTTCAGATCAAATGGAATTTTTAAGTCTGTTTCTAAAATAGAAATTCTCCTAAAAGTATTCAGTTGTCCAGATACTGCCTTGTAGTTTTCAGTTAAGTATCTAGTAAATGTTTTTCCTTTTTTTAAAGGGTTTAAAATCTGTAGATAGCAGCATCAAAAAAGAAAGTGACCTTCCGGCAGCTGACCCCAGCACTCCAATCCCATTAAAATATGAAGACGAATCCACAAGGGGGGGTCCCGAGGGGCTAGAGAAGCAGATGGCCTTGTTTTTGGACAAAAGTAAGTTGAATTGATGTGCAAATAAGGCCTTCAACAGAATGATATACTGGTTCTTTATCAACAGCAGACTTATGTCAATTAAGACAGTCATTGAAAGGGATCGAAGAAAGGATATTATGTGAACTGGAAGTAGGGGTAATATCCTTTCATTCAACATATAAAACAAAGTAGGATATTTTGATCTGGACATTTCTAATAAGAACATAAGGAGTCTGCATCTTTGCGTTACCCACTGTGAGAAACTAATGCTTTCAGCCTGTAGTTCTGCTAAGAAATTGCCGTAAAAGTGGCGGAGAATTTAAGAACACAGACTCAGGGACCAGTCTGCCTAGCTTCAGCTCTTGGCTTTGCAAGAAAAAGTTGTTCCATTTTTTTGAGCCACCTTTTCTCTCTTTCAAAATGGAGACAATAATAGTGCCTACTTTAAAGGGTTGTTATAATGATGAGATGGTTAATACATGTAAAGCGCTTAAAACAGTGTCCATAATAAGAAGTGTTGGCTGTTACCTTGTACTTAAATAAGCTAGAAATGTCACTTTTAGATTGTCTAGTTTATTCCTCAGGAACATCACTTGATGAAGAACGTGGGTTTTGAAGTAAAAGTCTTGAGTTTCTTCTTTATTTTAACCTCAATTGTATTTCTTTTTCCAACCTTATCCCTTACCCTCTTCTTAATCAGCTTCAACTGTTTTTTAAAAAAATGTTTTGAAAGCCTGTATGTTTGAAATAATACCAAATGCTTTCCGGACCTTTCTTCATTTTGTGAACAGAAATGATGGAGGTGTGGGAGGAATAGATTTATTCTCCCACATTTATATAGTGCTGCTTGTGTGCCAGGCTTAAACCTACATGCAGTGAGGACCACAGCGGGACTTCTGCTATTCTTTCTCCTGAAATGCTTTTTCTATCTCTTCCTCCCTCTCCATCTCTCCTGTTGAAAATCCCACTCAAGTTCAAAATCTCTGTCTTCCCCGACCACAGTCAAAATTACTTGATTCCCTTACCAGTGTGTCCTGTGAGCCTGCCTTGTATCATAGTTACCTGTGTTAGATGGTTTTAAACACACAAACACAGTTATGAGAAAGAACTTCATCTTACTCATCTTTAGTTCTCTCATAATGCCTCACACACACAGATGACACTTGTAGCAATAGAGGAAAAAGACACGTATGCATGCCTTAAATCATAATGGAGACTAAGTGCCTTTTCTTGCCTTGAAAGACTCGTGTGTTCTAGCTGATCAGAAAATGAGAAATCTTAAAGCTTGGAGGAGAGGAGATCTGTTTTTCTTTGTGGAACGTTTTGTTCTTATCTCTGTAATTACACTTAATATATTTTGTTGCAGTTTATGTTATCAAGGATAGAGGCCGATAACTTCGTGTCACTGTTCCCAGTGCCTGGCACAGTGCTTGGCACAAAAGTGATCATTTACTGAATGAAGAAGAATTTAAATAAAGAGTATTCCTGTTGGAGGAAATGGTTAATTTAGATGGAGGATAGGAAAAAACAGACATCTATGTAGGTGACAAGTAGTAACTTAACTTTGGCTGATGGATAGTAGGGGTGGAGTGGTGGAAAGTAAGACTGAAAAAAATGTAGCTTAGGAAGTAGGCTGAGATGCTTGGACTGAAGAGGTAAGAAACCATTTTAATCTTGGAGGACGGGCTTTGACGGTGATTAAAGCTGTGCTTTAGGAAGGTAAACTTTTTGGCAGATTGACACACAGATTGGGTAAAGAGGCAAGTCTCAGTTACAAGTTTAGCTATATCAGGGACCCTGGAAGAGAATGACAGAGTTGCCGACGGCAGGGAAGAAGGCCTTACGACTCCGAAGTGAAAGTCTATTTAAACACTACCGGGTTACTCCGTTGCATTTAAGCAGTAAAGCATAGTATTTACCAGTCTTGTAGCAATAGTGTCTAAGTCTGGAATGTTTCTATCAAGAAACAGAAAATATATTTTACTGGGAGACTGATATTCAAATGTGCTGCCTTTTTTCTCCCCATGTCACAGTGGGCTCCCTTCAGAAGGGTAATTATTCCAGTCAATCTGGAATGATCCCTGGTTCTTGGCAACATAAAATGAAACTTCAGCTGATTCTCAAGTCATCAAAGGCCTATTATGTTCTGTCTGATGCTGCCATGAGTCTGCAGAAGTATGGACGAGCATTACGATACATTAAGTTAGCTTTGCAGAGCCACGGTAAGCCTATAAACGAGCACGGGAGGGGGAACAGAGAAGGCCTCTGAATCACAATCAAATTTTGCTCCTATTTCTGTTGTAAAGTTTTATTTTAAAATGACTTTTTCTAATCCTGTGTATGTGACCTAGTATTTTAGTTTCTGCTTAGAGTGGTTTAACATCTCTTCATTTTGAAATACATGAAGCCATTATTTATGTATCTGACACAAAATAAACTTAGAGTAGATGCAGTGGTACAAAGTTTTCAGTTGGTAACACATTTTCTTCGTATTTACTGTGTTCATTAATTTTTAATGTGCTTGTGATTTTTCTCCTTTCCACCCTTTCCAAATAGATACTTATTGCTGCCTCTGCACCAATATGCTTTCTGAAGTGCTGCTGTTTCTTTCTCAGTATTTGACACTTTGTGGTGATATCCAACTAATGCTGGCCCAAAATGCAAATAATAGAGCAGCACACCTTGAAGAGTTTAATTACCAAACAAAAGAAGATCAGGAGATATTGCACAGTCTTCACAGAGAGTCCAGTTGTCAAGGTATGCCACAGAGCCACTCACTTGAGTCACAGTGGGATTATTCAGTCCAGCGCACGCTTTTTTCAGCATGTTCAGAAAAGTGGCAGAACTTGTTGTGTTTTGATAGTTGCTCTGTTGTTTCATTCATTTCTTAATTTTAAAATTGAGCACGATCTTGTGTATTGGTATAAAATCGTTTTCAAATATGTTGTGGTTACTGATTATATGACTAGAACTAATCATAAAATAAGTTCTGAAGGCAATTGTGTTGACTTTTTATGCTACTTTTCATGAGGTTTTTCTGGGTAATACTTTTAATCAGGTAACCAAGCCCTGTATTTTCTTTTGAAAAGGAGTAACAGTTGGTGAAAGTGGATTAATTGCCTTCTGAATGATTCCGTGGGGTTAAGAGAAAGTGATTATCATTTTGTAAAGTTAGTTAATGGCTGGTCGTCTTACTGAAAATATCACTGTTTGGAGTTGTCAGACTTTAAAACTGGGAAATAGGGTAATTTAACCCATAGCGTCAGTGTCCCTCCTCCTCAGTTCAGCACAGTTGTGTAGCACACTGCAATTAGAGAATCTTCTGAGGGTTCTTTTGTAATGTATCATGGTATTGTTTTATTATGCTTTTACATTGTTTTTATTACTTGACATCTACCTCCCAAAAAGTTTTTGACAGTTGACAGCTAGAGGAGTACACTGGGGGAGTAGGGGAATGGATTATTTCGTAATATTTTTCTCTTTCTTCCCCTTCTCTCTGTTTCTCAAATGATTATTTTATTTTAATAGACAGTGGGAAAATCCTGTGTTTTGACCACTCCCATCATAGCAATTTCATGTAAAATACTTCTTTGTGAGAGTGATGTTCTCCATATATTTGAGTGTTACCAACAGGAGTACTACCTTTTTTTTTTTTATCTTTTTTTTTTTTTTTTTGTTAGCACCACATTCTTGGGAAAGGAGTACTACTTTTTTACTCCTTGAATTTGGATCCTGTGCCTAAGTTTACTCCATCCCCCACTAGATGGCATTTTTAAATCTTTGAGGACTTGTCTAACAGCTTCTTCAGTGACTTAAATGTAACATTGGCACATTATTTCAAGAAGTGTTTTTATCAATTTAATGAAAAAAACCTTTGTATTAGCAGTTAACTTGAGGTCTATACCAGTAAAGAAGTATACCTGGGAAAATCCTGGTGATTGGAATTGTTTGGTATTTATAGGCAGGAAAATATTTCTATTAATCAAACATTAATGTTCCCCAAAAATAGTTTCATAAATAAAGTGATCTTTACTATGAAACTTAAATTTTGTTACATTGATTGAATCTTAGTATATTTATACTGTATTACATTTATTATTTTGAATTTAAAATATCAGTTTCCCTTAGTTACTGAAAAAGAAGGTTTCACATGACTTGCATTGATACTGACTTATTTTTTCTTTTAAGGATTTGCATGGGCAACTGATTTGTCTACAGACCTAGAAAGTCAACTTTCTGTTAGCTGTAAATGTTATGAGGCTGCTAATGAAATCTTGCAGTTTAGTGATTTAAAAAGCCAGAATCCGGAACACTATGTACAAGTAATGAAGAGAATGGGTAACATCAGAAATGAGATCGGTGTGTTTTACATGAATCAGGCGGCTGCATTACAGAGCGAGAGAGTAGGTGAGTATCTCTTTGGATTCCTCTTCATTGCCTGTTCTGTTGGAAAATTATGCTGATTTTTTTATGAGTAAAGCAAAGAACCGTGGCAGTTGATTTTATGTCATAAAGGGGTGCTCTGTTAGAGAATTTTTTAAGTTCTCAAGAAATAAACTTAGGAGAAAACCGTTATTTTCCCTTGGGATCTATCATTTCTGCGTTCTGTATTCCCACTTTTATACTTCACTCCGTCTGATCAATTCAGAAGCCAATTGGACAACCAGCCATGTGCCAGGCTCTTTGTTAGATATGTAACTGGCTACAACATGGTCCCCTTTTCTAGTTGGGAAGCCAGATATGAATACAAATCTCTGATAAATGCTGTGGATAAGTACAAATGAAGTACAGTAGGAGAATGGGAGAAGGAAACATTTATTGAGGTTGCAGGCTTCTTGGAAGGAAGGCTTTTGGGAAGGTATAGTTGAGCAGGGTGGTATAGGATGCGTGGAATGTCTGTAGGCAAACGCGAGGTCATGGCTTTCCAGACTGAGCAGGCAGCACTAGGAAGAAGCCAGAGGTGGAAGGTCCCATGAATGTGTAGTGCGGCAGCCCCATGTAAATCAGGCATGGCACGATGAGTCAGCTGGGCCATGTTGAGCTTGAGACACCTGTGGAGCATGTGTGTGAAAAGGTCTAATTTAGTAGCTGATTAGAAATGTGCTTAGAAGCTATTAGGGCCAGTGAGACATAGATTGAGAACTATTCACATAAAGGTGATAGTTGAAGCCATGAGACTGGATGAAAATATGAAGGGTGGACACAGTATGGGAAAGGAGCAGGGCTGAGGGGGAACTGAGGGTGGCAGGTGAATTGAGTAGGCATATCTGTGTGTTTGTTGATCTGTGAGCTGTGCCTGGCAGTAGGGATACAAATGTTGCCCCCAGAGAGTTCACTGCTATCGGGATAGCCTATGCATTTACGGTGCATCTGGAGGAGGAAGTCATCGAGGGAAGATGGGAGGTAGGCAGGAAGCTAGGAGAGTTGGAGAAAACACAGGTTTTAAGAGGTTATAACCTCTTAAAACTCCACGGGACTATAGCTGTTGAATCTTTACAAAGTGGTGCTTTGCTTAGATGTTTTTATTTGCGTATTTTAATATCAGTTAATACTGAGGAGGGTTATGCTTAACTGTTGTACAGTAGCCCCCTCTTATCACAGGGGGTATATTCCAAGACTCCCAGTGCATACCTAAAACCGTGGATAGTCGCAGACCCTATATGTGCTGTATTTTTCATACATACTAAAGTTTAATTTGTAAATCAGGTACAGTAAAAGATTAATAACAATAATAATAAAGTAGAGCAATTATAACAGTATGTCAACATCACTACTCTTGTGCTTTGGGGCCATTATTAAGTAAAATAAGGGTTATTTGAACACAAGCACAGTAATACTGTGACAGTTGATCTCATAACCCAGATGGCTCGTAAGTGACTAATGGGCAGGTGGCACATACAGCGTGGAGATGCTGGACAAAGGGATGATTCACATCCTGGGCAGAATGGAGCAGGATGGCAAGAGATTTCATCAGGCTACTCACAATGGTGCACAATTTAAAGCTTACGAATTATTTATCTTGAATTTTTCATTTTTTTTAGACCACAGTTGACCACGAGTAACTAAAACCACGGATAAGGGGAGACTACTGTATTAGTCTGCAGGGGCTGCTATAATAAAATACCATAGATTGGGTGACTTAAACAAAAGAAATTTATTGTCTCATAGTTCTGGAGGCTGGAAGTTCAAGATCAAGGTGCCAGCAGGGTTGGATTCCAATGATGCTTCTCTGCTTGGCTTGCAGATGGCCGTATTATTCTCTGTGTGCCCTCCCAGGGTCTCTCCGTCTTATAAGGACACCAGTCATATTAGATGAGGGCCCCACCCTTATGACCTCATTTAAGCTTGATTACCTCTTTAAAGGCCCTATCCAAAATAGAGGCATATTCTAAGGGACTGGGGGTTAGTGTTTCAACATAGGAATTTGGGGGGCACCCTTCATTTCTTGTAACATGCATGATGACAGCAGTGCACGGTGGTTGACTCCAGATGGTAGACTCTCCACCAGCCTCCTGTCATTGCCATTCTCCTCTCATCATCACATCAAGAGGCGGTGGGAGGTTTACACTGATGTTTGCTTACGCAAATGTTTTCTTTCTTTGTGAAGTGAGCAAATCCGTGTCTGCTGCAGAGCAACAGTTGTGGAAAAAGAGCTTTTCCTGTTTCGAAAAGGGAATTCACAACTTTGAATCAATTGAGGATGCTACAAATGCTGCTCTTTTATTATGTAACACGGGAAGGCTCATGAGAATTTGCGCACAGGCACACTGTGGTGCGAGTGATGAGTTTAAACGTGAATTTTCACCAGAAGAAGGCTTGTATTATAACAAGGTAACACAGTTGCTTGTATGTTCGGCCTCATCCACTCACACCTGTTGTTTATTTACACGTTGCTGTCGTTCCCCTTAAATTATCATAAAAACTAAATATAATTAAACTGTAGTGATGTCACAGGAGTAGACAGGTCATTAAAACACTTAGAAACTAGCGTAAAAGTAGTTAAGAATTTAGTATTAAAGATGGCATGTTGAATTGGTAGGGAAAATAGGAGTCAGCAGACTGAAACTAGAGTAAATGTCAAATGGATTAAACATGGACATGGAGAAAGTGAAAGTAAAAGTTGCCAGAAGAAAATACAGATAGGAATTTTACACTATGGGTTAGGGAAACACTTTCCCAACTTGGCACAATAAACAGAAATCCCAGGTAAAAGTTGAATAAACTTAAATGTATAAAAATAAAGGTTTACAAATGCACAACAGAAAGTAAAATTGAAAGCAAACCACAATCTAGGGAAAATACTTATACACGACAGATCAAAGGTTAATACACCCTTAATATATAAAAAAAGAATTAAGAATCATTGAAAATAAACCACCCAAATACAAAGACAAATAACCTTGAACATAAAATATATACACTTAGAAAAAGTGGCTAATATGTATATAAGAAAAAATGGCAAAATTTAAATGTTTATCAAATTTAAAAATTGAATTTCCTTTATTTATGACATTGCCAAATTTTCTGGCAAATGACAGCGTCCATTGTTGGGGAGGGTGTGAGGAAGCAAGCACTCATGTAATCGAGTACTTTGAAGCCGTTTAAAAATGACAGCGAAGAATGTTCGAGGCATAGTAAATTTTAAAATAAAAGTGACATTCTTTTTATTTTTCATTTTAAGTTTATATGTATACAGAAAAAAGAACGAATAAATACACACCAGAAACATAGACATTACTGCTCTGTGATTTTGTTTGTTTAAATACAATGGCCATGTATTAAAGGATGGGGTGACAAAGTGGAAGGAGTTACTTCTTTCTACAGTAAAATCTGGCAGATTTTTAAATCTAGTTTACTGGTTATGTAAACTGTAATTTTCACTTAGAGAGAAAAAAACCCCAAGGAAGAAGATGCATCAGCATGAGTCAGAAAACAGCACTAAGAATTGGCGTCCTGCAGACTTGAGATGGGGATGTGGAGTAGTGTTCAGTCCACTTAAAATAACTTTCTTCAGTAAAATGTTTTCATCGACTTTTTCCTTTCCTCATATTATTGTCCTTTTATAAACTCTCCCAAAATTAAATTAACATCTGGGTAGTTTTGAAGTATGTTTCATTTTAATGCAGTATTGGTACGTGTTCAAACTGAGTCAGAAATTGTCACTTCTTCCTCCCTTGCAGGCTGTCGATTACTATTTGAAAGCTCTAAGATCACTGGGAACGCGAGATATACACCCAGCTGTTTGGGATTCAGTGAACTGGGAATTGTCCACTACTTATTTTACCATGGCAACTCTCCAACAGGATTATGCACCATTATCTAGAAAAGCTCAGGAGCAGGTAACATTTGCTTGATTGTAAAATAAGTCCTCCACCTTATTTATTCCTTTGTTTAGCAGATACTGAGCATCTCTTGTCATCTTTTCCTTGACAAGGAGTATTTAAACATTTTAAAAATTCTTACAGTCATATTATGAGTTTGTCTTGTCTTTTCTCCCCCTTAAAAAAAAAATAAATAGATTGAAAAAGAAGTCAGTGAAGCTATGATGAAGTCCCTGAAATACTGCGACATTGATTCAGTGTCTGCGCGACAGCCTCTCTGTCAGTACCGGGCTGCAACCATCCACCACAGGCTGGCGTCCATGTACCACAGCTGTCTGCGGAATCAGGTACTGTCACTCCAGTTGAAGCGCAATGCCAAGGCAGTTCAAAGTTTGCTGGGTGCCTTTCTTACATTTCCATATATATTTTAAATGTAATCTATTCTAATTAGCTACTTTAGAAAAACTCGTAGGTGTTTTTCTCTCACCTATACCATATGTTTTTCTCTACTATAATTGAGTCTTAGTTTGCAAAATTATATAGTTGCCTGGGTGTGTTATTTAGATTTTTTAAAATGTGGTTAGGCCTTATAATGATGTTTCTGTGCAAATTTTAAAGTATGATCTCCCATCTTTTATTGTGAAATAGAGCATGCATATAAAAGCACATAGAAATATGTGTGGAACATATGTACAGTTTAAAAAATAACAAAAGGAAACCCCTTTGTGCCTGGCCTGGAAGTTAAGGGAAAGAGTACTCTAGAGAGCCCCCAGGTGTGCCTCCCTCGACACCACCCAGAGGAACTGCTGTCCTGAATTTTCTACTATGTCCATACCTTTTTTGTTTTTGCCACTTAAACAATATGTTTACATTTTACTTTGTTGTGTGCTTTATAAAACGAATCATACTGTATGTGTTCTTCTGTGGCTTACTGCCTTTCACTTTAACATCAGGTTTTTTAGAGTTATCCTTTTTGGTGCATATAGCTGTTTATTTTCTCAGCTCAATAGTGTTCATTAAGTGAATATATCACAGCTTATTTGTTCTATGATTAATGAACTTTTGGGTTGTTCCAATTTGGGGCTATTAGAAATAATCTAGTATCAACAGTGTTATACATGAATCCTGATGCTCAAATGCATGTATTTCTAAGAACAATTTGGGGCCTTGGATAAAGGTACCTTCAGAGAGATTGCGTTGCTTCTGCTGGGAGTCTTGTGTTTACGGTTTCTCAGTGATGTTTTTTGTTTGTTTTGTTGCTTTTCCCCCATTGCTTAATCCCAAGACAGTTTACCTTACAGTCCTTTGGCATGGGTTTACTTCTGCATTGCCCTTATCCTGAAAGTCTTGTCCTTTGAGGTCTGGCTTAATCTGGAGAGGATTTCTATTAATACTTGGCTTTAGGAAGCCTGCAACCAAAATTCAGGTTTGCCCAGATGGCCTAATATCCTGAGAGCAAAGCAAACTTAAGACTGCCAAGAAATCAGTAGGGGAAGAATAGTCTTTTCAGCAAGTGGTTCTGGGACAACTGGATATCCACATGGAAGAGAACAGAATTGGACTCCTACCTCATGTCATATACAAAAATTAACTGAAAATGAATTAAAGACCTAAATGTAAAAACTAAAACTTTAAGACTTATAGGGAAAAAAACAATTAAAAAGCATTTAGTGATCCAGTCAGAAGACTTATTAAGTACTTATTGTGAAGCCCCAGCCTTAGGATTTTTTTTAAATTTTATTTTTGGTTCTAGGTTGGTGATGAACACCTTAGGAAGCAGCACCGGGTGCTGGCAGATCTCCATTACAGCAAAGCTGTAACGCTTTTTCAGCTTCTGAAAGATGCTCCCTGTGAACTACTTAGAGTGCAGTTAGAAAGAGTAGCATTTGCAGAATTTCAGATGACCAGTAAGTCTTAACTTTTTCATTTCTCAGATATGTATGCATTGGCTTAGTGTTGGAATGTCTTAGAGTGAGGCAGACCTGTGGATCTCTCTTGGATGTAAGTAATACTGTTTTCTTTTTAATTTGCCCATGGTTAATTGCTTTGGGTAGGGACCAGGATAAGTCTCTACACTTTTTGAAGTGCTTTTTAAAACTTAAAGAAATGTATTAGATTATGTTCGATGACTAGCAATATGGAAGTACAGCTCATGAATCCCTTATTTGAAAAAAAATTTTGACACATCAGTTTAGACAAAGATTTAAATCAGCATGAACAATTGGGAATGGAGAAGCAACAGTAAGGGGTAGTAGCCCTTACTGAATCCCTGTAAACATAGAATTGACACTGGGCAGCTTTGGGTTACGGTTCTAGAACAGACACTGCTATAGAGCCTGACTGAGGTAGAGATCAAGTGGGAGAAAGAGAAAATGCTTTATTCTGTTGTTTTCCATGGCAGGGAGTAGGCAGATACTCCAGCCACTCAACTTTTTTTCCTAAGTTCTCTCCCTCTCACTCACCAGCTCCCTTTTCCTGCAGAGGGGTCTTTTGAGAAATAACTCTTGTCTGGGAAAGAAACAAGATACACTTATTTGAAGTGTGGCAATTCGTTTGGTTTCATTTCATTTTTTTTCTTCCATAAAATGAAAATAAATACTTTAACTATGTATGACTTTGTGTAGGTATGCAGTAACCCTGGGAGGATGCACGAGACACTGATAACATTGCTGCCTCTGGGGAGGGAATCTGGGAGGCCGGGAACCTTGTAAATTTGGGAATATATTACCTATCTAAAACAGTTTCTGCAAATGCTTTTTATTAAAATCGTTTTTGTTTCTTTTTTCCAGTATGGAAAATGCATGGCTACATGTGTGGGATAGTTACTAGGATTAACAGTAGACCTTTCTAGGGGAGGGTTTGGGGTGATCTTCAATTTCTACTTGCATCTTTGAACTTTCTGCTATGTTTGAATTCCTTAGAATGAGCAGGCGTTATTTTTATGGAGAGATACTGGGAACAAATTTGCTAAAATCATAAATGTGGTTAATGCCCTTTTTAAAATGTTTTAGTAGTATGAGTGAGTACCTTAAAAAAATGATATAAATATTTTAAGGGGCTTTGTTAGCCAGGTTTGTGGGTTTTATGGGCCAAGTTAATAAATGCTCTAATTTGTAAAACCTTTTATTGTCTTATTTTACCCAATATTTTTTTTTCTAGTACATACGACTCAGATTTACCTTCCTAATGTCTTTATTATCTGGTTCCTGCCCCAATAGCATTTTCATACATAATAAATAGCTTGTCTTCCAGATGTTAAATCTACACTGAAATCACATTTATCCATTGATTTTAAAGATAACAGGTTATTTAGAAAGTTGAGGATTATGCTTTAAAGGAAGAAGGAAACAATTATTTCCTCCCCATCTGTAGAGTAGGGGAGTCCCCCAGACCACCCTTAGGTTTGGCAGTTCACTGGAAGGACTCATAGAAATCACTGAAAGCTATTCTGCTTATGGTTAATTACAGGAAAAGGATATGCATTAAAACCAGCCAATGCAAGAGGCACGTGAGGCAGAATCCAGGAGAGTTGCTAGTGTGAAGCTTCCAGTTTGTCCTCTCCCAATGGAGTTACAGATGGCGCTAACTCCCCCTAGCAATGATGTGTGATATGACAGTACTCACAGAGTGTACCAACCAGGGAAGCTCACCGAAGCCTTGGTGTCCAGAGTTTTTGTTGCAACTTGGTCGCATAGACATAGTTTACTGCCCCGTGACTGATCTTAGTCTCCAGCCCCTCTGGAGATCGAGCTGTTAGCATAGGGCCTGAAGCCCCCACAGTAAATCACACTGTTAGACTATCCAAAGGCCTCCCAGGTAAACAAAGACACTCTTATCAGGCAGGACATTTCAGGGGCTTAGAGATCACCTTCTGGGAGCCAGGGACAAAGGCCAGACCTCTGTTTGGACAAGAGTAAACCTTTGCTATACAACCACATACACAATCGAATGTCAGCTCCAGGAAAGCAGGAGCAAAGGTGCTTTGTAGTGTCTGACAGCTACAGAAAAGTTTTATTCAGAAGGTTCATAAATGAAACCTGTTCATCTGGTCTGACTTCCTGCCTTGAACAGAAAGGTAATACACCTGTTTTACAGGTAAGACAACTGATGCTAAGTGCTTAAGTGACTTGACCAACATCACTTGACCATTTACAACTGGTAAATGATGGGGTGGCCCTCAACCCCCAGCGTCCTCTCCACTGGTCCCCTTTAACCTAATGTTTCAGGTACTGGCTTCTGTTCTGAAAAGGTGATGTTCTCAGCCAGACAAAACCAAATGGGTAAGGCAGGGAAACAGTATTTATTGCTTTGGCCAGACTTAATATTTTTCTCAAGGGAAAATTATTAAATAGAAGTTGGATTTAGAAGATTTATTGAGATTCTCAACAGCTTCCTTTATGGTGTTTAAAAATCAGAATTTTCATGACTATGTTAAGATTGGTTGGGCTTCTAGATTTATATTTAAAGGAATGATCACTTTGTGTTAAATACTTTAGGTCAGAATAGCAATGTTGGAAAATTGAAAACACTGTCTGGGGCTCTTGATATAATGGTGAGAACGGAGCACGCATTCCAGCTCATCCGGAAGGAGCTTGTAGAGGAATTTGACCAGGTAAGTGGAGAAAAATCAGTGTCTTTTTCTTGTGTGTGAATGTATTCAGTGGACATATGGTATGTGTTTATGTATGTATGTATTTTGTGTGTGTACATAAATATATGTACAAATATATGCATAAAAACACATTAACAGTGATTTCTTGTGTTTGCTTGGTAAAATTAAACTCCTTTCTTTTATATCTGAAAAGTTTTTTTAAGAGTATGCCTTAATGAGGCCCATAGACCATGGTTAGCAAGGTACTGGTTAGCAAGTTACAAAGTCTCTTAAGTTGTTTATTTGTTTTCTGGAGTTTTTTGTTTGTTTGCTTATTTTTTAAGAGAAAGAAAGTCCTATGTCCTCTTTTATAATTTCCACTAAACTGCCTGGGAGCAGTTGAATGGTGAGGGGGTCTTAAACAGGCTCCTGGAGAAGGAATTTCTAGTTTTCTGGGCATTCCAGCATTCACGCCACCTGCTATTGCTGAAAGCTTCCCTAAGTCCCCATGCTACACCCTCCTATGGCTTCCCTAACTCTGGTTAGTCAAAGTCTGTCCAATACCCTTTTCCAGGTTGTGTCTGATGGTGAGAATCAGAATATTTTTATTCAGAATTATTTTCTTCTACCCAAGTGCCTGTTAGGTATGAGACATTTTTATTATGTGTTTTAGTTTATCAAAGTGATCTCAGGTGTGCTTTTTGTTTGTTGTTTTTGGTTAAAAAGTTTTCTGTATTAATGAAACTGCACTTCCATCACTTTAGTATGAAACTACAGTTATTGGATAGCTTAAGTTAAAGAACTGTTTGTTGTTTTTAGCCTAAGAGTGGTGAGACTGCTCCAGCTGCCGATTCTTCTCCGAGTCTTAATCAAGAAGAAGTGATAAAACTGCTCAGTATATTTGAATCTCGGTTGTTGTTTCTTCTCCTTCAGTCCATCAAACTGCTATCTTCTACTAAAAAGAAAACAAGGTAAATTAAATGGTTATTTGTGAGAATTTCTTTCCCAGCACCTTACCTGTAAAAATAATATAAATAATCTCTATTGACCTCGTAAAGAAAAGATAGGTTGTATTCTTTCTTATCTCTTATGTGGATAGGTCAGGATTTTAAGTGGCGTTCTTCTTGACTTACTAAACTTTGTCTCCATGCAGCCTACTACATATTGAGATTAGAGATACAAAAAAATCCTGCTAAGGGTAAATACCCTATTGTTCATAGTATTTTCCCAGAGAGAGAGGAATGACCCTGGAATGAAGATCCTAAATATTTCTAGTAACACTTCTGAACATTGTCTTTAATGGGAAGTCTGGACTATTGTTGTGATACTGAGGGCCAGGTGCACTGCAAAGTAGATGACAGAGCATTAAAGTCTCTCCTAAAGCCTAAGACGTTAGTGAGGAGACACAAGAGTCAGCACCTTAGCAAACAGTATTCTCACATACCTGTATCATCTTGTACAATTATGTTGTTTTGCCAGAGTAATTATTTTGGTATTATTAATTTGAAAATCCAGTAGTAAGTACTAGTTCAGGAAAGTAATATAAATAGTATGCCTTTCTTTTTTTAAATATAAGTACAATTTGGCCATATTACAAAATTTGGAAAATAGAGAAGAGAAAAAGAAAACCATTTATCCTGATATATCCATTGTTATCAGTTATCGTATGTAGATTTTGCCAATTTATATCTTAGGGTACAGATAATTTTTGTCTCTTTATTTTTTTATGCTTTAATTTATATACAGTAAAATTCACTCTTTGTGGTGTGCAGTTCTTCAGACTTTGACCAGTGCATACAAATGTGTGTCTGCCACCATAATGACGACACAAAACAGTTCCATCACTCCAAAAATTCACTCCTCCTGCCCCTTTTTAGTCAACCTTTCCCTCACCTTGAACTCCTTAGGCTTTCAGGGAAGAAGCATTCAGTCTCTTACCATTAAGTGTTACTAATATCAGCTGTGGGGCTTCTGTACCTGCCTTTATCAAGTTGAGGATGTTACACCTTCTATTCCTAGTATGCTGAGAGTTTTTATCATGAATGGATATTGAGTTTTTGTCAAATGCTTTTGCTTCATCTGTTGAGATGACCATGTGGTTTTCCTCCTTTAGTCTGTTAATGTAGTGGATTGTATTGATTCTTCAACTGTTAAACCAGCTTTGGATTCCTGAAATAAACCCCACTTTGTTGTGCTGTATTATTCTTTTTATGTATTACTGGATTCCATTTGCTGATATTTTGTTGAGGATTTTCATGTCTGTGCATGGGGAATATTGATCTTCAGTTCATTTTTCTTGTGAAAAGTGACTTTGTCTGGTTTGGGTATTAGAACAATGCTGGCCTCATAAAATCAATGTACTTATGTCCCCTCTTCTATTTTCTCAAGGAGATTGTGCAGAATTAAAACTATTTCTTCCTTAAACATTTACTAGAATTTATCAGTAAAACCATGTTAACTTGGAGTTTGCTTTGTTGGAAGTTTTTAAACAATGACTTCAGTTTCTTTTCAGAGATACAGTACTGTGTAGGTTACTTTTTTTCTTGAGTAAATGGGGTCCATTTCATCTACATTGACGAATGGATAGGTTCACAGTGTCTCCTCATTATCCTTTAATGGCTAAGAGGGGTATGGTGATAGCCCTTCTTTTAGTCCTGATACTGGCAATTTATGTCTTGTCTCTTTTTTATTGATCTTTTCAAAAAACCAGCATTTTTGAGTTGGTTGATTTCTCCCCACCCTCTTCATTATTTCTCTGTTTTTCAATGTCATTGATTTCTGTACTTATCTTTATTACCTTCCTTCTGCTTGTTTTGGGCTTAATTTGCTCTCTTTCTGGTTTTTTTAAGGTGGGAGCTTAGATTACTAATTTGAGACTTTTTTTCTTTTTTAATACAAGAATTTGCTTCTAAAAATTTCTTTCTTAGGACATAACCTGGACAAAGAAGAATTAAAAAAAGAAAAATAAATAAAAATTTCCTTCTAAGCACTGCTTTTGCTTCATCTCACACATTTTTATATATTTTCTTTTTTAATTCATTTGAAAATAATATTCCATATCCTAAGACTTACTCTTTCATCCATTTATTATTTAGAAGTGTGCTATTTAATTTCTAAATGTTGGAACTTTCTAGATACCTTTCTATTATTGATTTCTAGTTTGATTCTGTTATGTGCTGGGACCATAACTTTGTGTGTTCTCTTCTTTCACATTTGTGTACATTTGTTTTATGACCTAGAATATGGTTTGTCTTGGCACATGTTCTGTATGTATTTGAAAAATCTGAGTATCCTGCTGTTTGAGGAAGAGTGTTGTGTAAATGTTGGTTAGGTTGAGTGGGTTCATAGTATCAGTCAGGTCTTCTGTCAGTTTACTGAGAGAGGAGTGTTGAAGTCTCCAGCTGTAGTTGTGAGTGTATGTTTCTCCTCTCTGCACTGCTTTTTTGCTTCATGTGTTTTTGAAGCTCTGTTAGGTACATACACATTTAGGATTGTTATATCCTGGAGAATTGACCCCCATCACTATGTCATCTCCCTTTTTGATATTAATATAGCTACTCAGCTTGCTTTTTGTGAATATCTTTTTCCATTTATGTCTTTTATATTTGCCAGGAGTTAGCTACTCTCCCAGCAAAACAGGTCCCAAGGCAGTATCGTCGCAAGGGATTTGGAAATAATAGGAAATAAAGAAAGAAATAATATAGATGGAGAAATGATTGAGACAGAGACAAAGTGCAGTTTAAATGATGGGGGAGTTAGGGGGTCTCCAGCATCCCCGTGAACTGTGAGACCACGAATGAAGTCCCGTATCAGTATTTATTGTTACAGCAAATAGTTGTCTTTTGTTAGAGAATTACGTATACAGTTCATTTTTTGAGGTTTCCAGGGGAACCTTACCTAATTCTGTCTACAAGAATAGACGATTACAAAATTTTTCTAAGATAAGCATGTTAAGCCCTAAGTTAGAAACAGACATAGCTGAGCAAACAAATTAAAGATAAAATGTATAACATGAGAACACTGAGTCTGTGTACTACTCTAATCTACTTCTTCTAAACACAGAGACATGTAGTCAGGAGTGAAGCAGGAATAGCCTTGAAGTCTAGGATAGTTCTAGCTGCACGTTATCTGCTGGGCAGACATTTTAATCAGCTTCTCCGCCAAGGACCCAAACCAAGCTTCTGCCTTGCAAAAAAGCTCAAGGCGATGGCCGGCAGCAAAGAAGAAAGGTTGCTTTGCAAATGTCCTCTGACAGTGCCATCCTTGTTGGAAGCAGCTTCTATTCTGTGAACTAACATTCTCACAGATTCCTTCAAGGCAAAGCCTGCAAAGCCCCTTAAACTTTTCATGTCTCTTAGCCTATTTCTCAACATATATTAAAATTCAGTTTCTTACAGATGACATATAGTTGGGTCTCGGTTTTTTTAATCCAATCTTATAATTGGTGTCTATAGACCATTCATATTTAATGGACTCTTTCTGCCTTCTCTTGGGTTAAACATTTTCTATGATTCCATTTTATTTCACTATTGATTTATTATCTGTACCACTTTTTAATTATTTTAGCAATTGACCTAAGGTTTGCAATATACATCTTTATTCAGAGGCCACCTTCAAATAATATTGTACTACTTCACATGTGTTGTAAACACCTTAGAACAATATACTCCCAATTCTTTCCTCCCATGATTTGTATTATTAATACATTTTACTTTTACATATGTTATAAACACACAATGTACTGCTACTAGCTTTTGCTTTAGGCAGTTACTTTAGAGAAGTTAAAGATTCAGTGCAAAGTGGTCTACAATAAAGCGAACAGGAATTTCATGTACCTTCATTTATTCCATTTCCAGTGCTCTTTACCTCTTTGTTAAGGTACCATTTTCTGTCTGACATCATATTCCTTCTGCCTGAAAAACTTCTTTTAATGTTTTCGTAGTGTAGGTCTGCTAGCAATGAATTCTGTCTTTTTGATGGTCTGAGACTCCTCATTCCTTTTTTCAGTTTTGGGAGATCTTTTTGCAAGGTGTAGAATTCTGGGCCGACAGTCTTTTTATTCCAGCACTTTAAAGATCTCATTCCATTGTCTTCTGGCCTGAATTTGATTGTTTGTTTGTTTCGTTTGTTTTCTCTTTGAGTCTTGCTAGGTCACCCTGGGTAGAGCGCAGTGGTGTCATCATAGCTCACTGCAACCTCAAACTCCTGTGCTCAAGCAATCCTCCTGCCTCAGCCTCCCAAGTAGCTGGGACTACAGGTGTGTGCCACACACACAGCCAATTTTTCTATTTTTAATAGAGATGGGGTCTTGCTCTTGCTCAGGCTGGTCTCGAACTTCTTGCCTCAAGTGATCCCTCACCTCAGCCTCCCAAAATGCTAGGATTACAGGCGTGAGCCACCGCACTGGTCCCTGAATGTTTTCCGATGGGAAGCCTGCTGTGGTTCTTACCTTTGTTCATCTGTTTGTAATGTGTTTTTTTTTCATCAACTGCCTTCAATGTTTTCTGTCCCCATCCCACCCCCTAGCAGTTTGAATAGGATGTGTGCAGGTGTGTCACAGTGGTTCCTACCCCTTCCTCCTGGTACTTTTATTTCTTCTATCCCCATCCTCTCTTCTTGTTCTGTGGTTCCAGTTATACCTATGTTAGACTGATACTGTTCCACAGCTCTTATATGTTCTATTGTGGGTTTTTATGCCTTTTTTTCTTTCTGTGGTTTAGTTTGGGTAATTTCTGTAGACCTGTCTTTAAGTTCACTGATTCTTTACTTGGTTTTATGTAATCTACAATCCAACTTGTTGAAGGCATTCTTTGGGTCTGTTACAGTGTTCCTCATTTCTAGCATTTCCTTGTATTTTCCATCTCTCTGCTGAAATTACCAGTCCGATCTTGCATAGTGTCCACATTTTCCATTAAAGCCTTTAACATACTAATTACAGCCATTTAAGATCCCCTAGGAGATTTGCCTTGAA